TTAACAGTTTTACCTTGTATATGTCTAAACGTATAACATTGACTTATTGTGCGTCGCACTAGATGTCTATCATTAACTGGCTAAACAGATTCTCTTATTATTGAAAACAATAGATGTGGGCCAGCATGTAAATTGCTTCTATGCTCATATTCAAAATTGGTTTAGTCAAGTGAGTGCATGAGAACGGGATGTTTTTTATCGTAGGCACATTCTGAAGTATTTAAGCGGCCACTCTCTCCAATAACGTTAAATTTGTCATCGAAAAATGGTGGTAACGATAAAATATACTCTAAAAGAAGTTACTGCTGTTGAGCTAAGTGGCAAAATTGATAAAATGAATTATTTTGTTCTTCGATGGTTGAATTACCAGAATTTTTTTTTATTTAAATGTTTTAATTTATGAATAAAACGTCAGATGTATGCAACCGAATGGTTTAATTTTAATAATTTGGTATAATTTTCAAACAACAATAAACAACTTTTATTAATGGTTACATGGACCGTAATTGTGTTATGTTTGGTCTCAGGCAGGTCTCTTGAATTAAATTGTTGTGTTTTTGATAACAAAGGCCAATTATTCTCTGGCTGATATAAAAAACTAGGTCCTGAGCACCAAAATGTTTACTTGTTATTTGATCAGAACCGACACCTCTGTAAATGAGATCTGCTGGATTTAAATCAGTTGATACATATCGTCACGAAGCTTGGTCATAACTTCGGTATGTTCACATAATGATTTCTTAAATTTACGCGAACACTACACATTGAATAAAACTAAAGCACCGACGCTCCGGGAAGTCTGCAGTCTGCGAACATGTTCAAGATCGTCCCCACCATTACATTCGTTTTGATAAACCACAAATTCTCGCAAAAGAACACCGATTCCTACCAAGGATGATACGCGAGGCTATTGAAATTAGAAAACATCCAAATTTCAATAGAGAAGATGGATGGGTGCTGCCACCTACTTGGGATCCTATAATTAACAAAATTAAAACCAAACCTAAGCATACCACTGCAAGACTTCATGATACTATAAGCTCGTTTTGCGTAAATTGGACCAAAAATTTATATTCAAAGGCTGAAGTTAGCCGGACTAACTATGACATTGGGACGTCAAACATCTCAGTCCCCCCCGTGACCATGGTTGCTGTAAAGCAGCCGAAACGTCGAGAATTAAAAATAAGTAAAAGTAGTGAAATAAACGCGATAAAATCCGTAAATTTAGTTTTATTCGTTATGTTCACTAATTTCGGTAACTCTATTTTCAACAAATATTTTAAGGTTTTGATAGCGACTATTGAGCCAGCCCAACGCCACACTGGAATCACACCAGTAAGTTTCACGCTGTATTTGACACCGCAAAGAAGTCCTAGCAGCCTCACATAGCTTGGCGGCTAATAAAGCAGCGCAGAGCTCTAGCCAAGAGATTATAGTTGGTTTTATTGGAGCTACTTTAGAAATTGTTAATTCAGTAACATGTCCTAATTTCTTCATATTCTCGTATAAATTTTTTGTACTGTGATTTAACATCTAACTGTTTTCTAAATTGTTTTTTCAAATAAAGTAAGCGTTTTTGATGAGAGTAGAAGATTCATCCAAAAAGTCTGGTGAATATTTTTAGGGAAAACTAACAGAGAATCTACCTGACTCCAGGCAAAAAATGTGATTATTAAAATGAGATTCACATGCTTTATCCTTTGGGTTTAAATGGGATTTAAATGAAATATCTTCTAGTTCCTAGAAGTTGGACATTTGCGTATTGATATTATTGTAATTAAAATCAGAATTTTATAAAGTAGCTGAATGATAACATTGAGTAATATTATTATATTTATAAAATAAATTTGTATAAGGACCTTAAATAAAATCTGAATTTGGAACCTTTAAGTTTAGGATTTTTAGGGCCGAGCGTAATTTTCTTGCAGCCTAGAATGTCCCAGAACAGTTCGGCACCTATGAGTCCGTCAACAGGCGCGGAATGGTTAAACGTAGGGTAAGCAAATTTTATATTTTTGGGTAAGAATTAATCGCTGTATATCTATAAGATATACAGTGGTTAAATTTATTAGCAACTAAAGCTGGTAATTCTGCTGGTATGAATGAAGAAATTGAAAGAAAAAAGGCAGAATTTAGACGTCTAAATAAGAGAGTAAAAGAAGTAGTTGAAAGGAAAAATAAAGAAAGAATGGATAAAAATGATAGAAGTATATCTGATAATTTCCAGGCTAATACAAAAATGTTCTGAAAAATTGTAAGAACTGCCAGGGGAAATACAAAACAGCCTATAATTAATACTATAAGAGACGAGAATGGATGTATTCTGAATGATGAAGTTTCGAATTTATACAGATGGAAGGAATACTTTGAAAGCGTGTTTATGAGTGAAGAGTCGTCTGAATTAAATGAACAAGAAATTCCGAAAGAAGTGGAAAGGGGTATGGAGATAAGTGTAGATGAAATAATGAAAGTAATGAAAAGCACGAAAGCAGGTAAGGCAGCTGGATATGATAGAGTATCACTCGAGATGCTAAGGGTTGGAGAGGGAGTGGTGGCAGGCCTGCTGTACACCTTGTTTAATTTGTGTTGGGAATTAAAACGGGTACCGGATGACTGGTGTAAAACAGTTATAGTACCAATATATAAAGGAAAAGGGACATAGCAGGACTGCAAACACTACCGTGGTATCAGCTTGCTTAGTATTGTGGTTAAACTGTATGCTAAGGTGTTAATTGAAAGAGTTATGAAAAAAACTGATAGAAAAATTTGGGATGTGCAAGCGGGTTTTCGAAATGGAATGGGGTGTACAGATCAAGTCTTTTCCATGCGTATGATTACGGAGAAGTTTTTGGATAAAAACCAGAAAGTTTTTTGTGCGTTCATGGACTTGGAAAAGGCTTATGACAGAGTGGACAGGAATGTGTTATGGCAAACACTGAACTCATATGGGTTGAGCGCTGGTTTGATACGGGCATTGAGGTCTTTTTATAGAGATTCTAGTGCTTGTGTCAGGATCAATGGGGTCTACTCGGACTGGTTTGGCATCCGAAAAGGTGTCAGACAAGGCTGTGTGGCTTCCTCTTGGCTGTTTAACCTATTTATGGACAGGTGTTTGCAAACTTTGAAAGATGAAGAATGTGGGTTAAGAATGGGCGAGTTAACCGTCAAATGCCTTTTTGTATTCCAATGGTCAAGTCATATTTGCGTCATCGGCGGCTGAGTTGCAAATGATGGTTACATTAATGAACTGGGCATTAAAAGAAAGGGAAATGAAAGTGAACGCAAGTAAAACGAAAGTGATGGTTTTTGAAAGAGAGGAAAGCAAGACGGTATGTGAAATAACAATAGAAGGAGAGTTAATTAAACAAGTGGATGAGTTTGTGTATTTGGAATGTGTATTTAGCAGGGATGGTAGATATGATAAGGATATAGAACGACGAGTAAATGCAGGGAAAAGAGTGAATGGGGCACTACACTCTATTGTGAAAAACCAGAATGTATCAAAAAAGGCACGTATGGTAATTCATAATGCTGTGTTAGTCCCTACTTTAATGTATGGTAGTGAAAGCTGGGTGTGGCAGAAGAAGCACGAAAGTAGAATAAATGCTGTAGAAATGCGGTCTTTAAGGAGTATGCTAGGGTTGAATCTGAATGACAGTAGTAGTATGCAAGATGATGTTATGACCAGGATTAAGAAAGGAATGCTTCGGTGGTTTGGTCATGTAAAAAGAATGAATGAGGAAAGAGTGACAAAGCAAATTTATATGACAGATGTGAACGGCAGAGTCGGGAAGGGACGCCCTAGAAAAAAGTTTATCGACACAAATTTGCGATTTATTGAAAACGGGCCAAATTAGGAGTACCCTTTACCGACGAGCATGTATGCGTAGATATGGATGTAAAGGAGGCGAAAGATGTCAGGATCGTGTCAAATGGAAGTCCATAGTCTCTGTCTACCCCTCAGGGTGACAGGCGTGAGTGTTTATGTTATGTTATGCTTTATATCTATAAGAAACACGAATATTGCTTGTAAGCTCCGGTAGCACAAGAAAAAAGTGAATGACCTTGAAGGGTCTAGTTAGTGAATGACGTTGCACTACACAAGTTTTAATGGGTTTATTGGTATAGTGATTGCCAATGTCCACAATATTGATGACATTGCTACTACGAGTATATGATTCTTATGATAGTTTTCCTTTGAGATTGTTGAGTTATGAAAGATGACTGACTACCGCAGTCCAATAATAATAATAATAATAATAAGTAATCTTTTATGGATGATGGAATATGCAAAAACGCGCAAAGGGCCGCTGCCTGGAGGTCGCCAGGGCACGTCTGGAGCTGGCGCTGGACGCGACAGCATGCGAACCGTCAGCCGAGCGAGAGGTGCTGCACGACCACCCATCAGCCCCTCGCATCCATCATCCCCACCAGCTGGCTTGGTGTCGGCAGGGTCTTCGCGGGCCCAGCAATCGGCACCCGCCACTGGTGGAGTACGCCGCATGCGATGGACAACCGAAATGAATACTAACGCATTGTGGGCGTATTTTAGGGCGAAAGGGGGAGAAGTTGGAGGTTTGGCGTATCGGGCTAGAATGCATCGACTTTTTGCTGAGCTGGAGCCATCTTTAACCGTCTCAGAGCAAAACCTGGCAGACCGGGTTCGGTATATCTTGCGCTCAAATATATTTCATGTCGCCGAACTCGAACGCCTACGACGTGAGGCTGTTCCCTCATCGGATGAAAATACTACGTCTGAGGATGCGGCGCCTCAAATTGCAGAGCAACCCGCAAACGTGAATGCTGCCGTGAATACCCCAGTTGTGGTTGATTCAAACGATGATGGAACAGTCGCCCAGGAACTGGAATTATAGCATATGAGGAGTACATTGGAAGAGGCGATTGTGGAAACGCGCAGTACGCCTCTCGAAAATTGACCGCGACTTCCCCGCATAGCCTTAAGCAAGCGGAATCGGGCTGTCGTGAGGGCTCTGAAACCAATGCTGGTGACCTATTTGGAAGCCAGCCGGGACCTTTGCGAGACGAACTCAATTCTTTTTGGCGCCGCACTGGCAGTGTGCCGTATTATAGGCGCCAAACTTTCCACGGCTGGACGCGCTACTGGACAAAGTAGCGCTATCCCAGCCTGGAGAATAAGTATTGAAGAACGTATCGCAAAGGCTAGGGCCCTCATCGGCAGACTGATATGCTTCAGGTCAGGCAACAACAGGTCAAGGATTGTGCGCACCGTCAGGATGGCATTTGCTGGGACAAATGTTAGTTTGTCCCAGCCGGATATAATGCAAAAACTGACGGAGCGCATAGAAGGCCTGAAGCAGAGAATCGCTGCTTGGGGAAAGCGGATTCGGCGATATACCGAGAGGTCGACACGGTTTAACCAGAATCGTCTCTTCCAGAGTAATCAGAAGAGGCTCTATAAATCGTTGGAGCGGCCAATGGTAAGTGGAACGGGCCCAGCACCGAATCAGGCCGACACTGTAGCATTCTGGCGCGGCCTGTGGTCAGAGCCCATAAATCACAGCGAGGGCCATTGGACGGAAGTTGTGGCGAGTCAGTGTGCGAGTATAACGCCCATGGACCCCGTCATAATAACGCCGGATGACGTAGCTTAGGCGGTCCGTAGGGCCCCGAACTGGAAAAGTTCGGGACTCGACGGGCTGCATCACTACTGGCTGAAGGGGTTTGTGGTGTGTAACACTGTGCTCGCCCGACAGTTCCAAGAGGCTCTCTACCAGAAGTCGCTCCCGAGCCTCTTCACTACTGGGATCTCGCATTTGGTTCCTAAAGACCAGGTTACCACAGACTCAAGCAAATACCGCCCCATCACGTGTCTGCCGACCATATACAAGACACAAACATCCATTTTGAGCGCGAGAATCACTCGTCACCTGGAATCAAATCAGGTGATGTCGGGCGCTCAAAATGGATGTCGGGGCGGCGGTTGTGGAACCAAGGAACCACTCCTCATTGACGCGGTTATTAACAAAGTGGTGAAACGCAACCTTCGGAACTTCTCCGCCGCCTGGATAGACTACAGAAAGGCATTTGACTCGGTGCCCCATACATGGCTAAAGAGGGTCCTCTAGCTGTACAAGATTGACTGTACAGTTCGAGACTTCCTCGAGCAGTGTATGGGGCAGTGGAATACGATCCTCTGTCATCTATGCGAGCGGATGACGGCTGCGGAAAGCCGCATAAGGATAAGAAAGGGTATATTCCAGGACGACTGTCTGAGTCCAATCTGGTTCTGCCTCTCTTTGAACCCTCTCAGTACTTTACTGGAGGGTTCCGGGAGGGGATTTCAGCTTCGGAAAGGAGGTACAAAAGTGACCCACATTTTCTATATGAATGACCTCAAATTATTTGCCTACAGTCGCTCCCATCTTATGGAATTGCTAAACATCACTTGTGAATTTAACAATTCTATTGGAATGGAGCTGGGGACGGATAAGTGTGCGGTCCTCCATGTTGACAGGGGTAGGGTTGCTATCTCTGAGGGCATAGACTTATCTATGCCCGTCAACTTAAGGACCCTTTCCGAGGCTGAAACATATCGATACCTGGGTATGTCACAGAACATCGGTACCGATGAGGCTGGTATGAAACAGTCAGTTTGCGACACGTTTTATGCACCCTTGACCAAAGTGCTTAACAGCCTTTTGTCCAGTGTGAATAAGGTACACGCATATAACGGCTGGTTCATGCCTGTCCTCATGTACACCTTTGGCATACTCAGGTGGACTCAGACCGAACTTAACGCCCTGGATAGAAAAGTCCGCACTACCATGACGTCCTATAGGATGCATCATCCGAGATCGTCGGTAATCAGGCTGTACTTGCCGCGAAAGCACGGTGGGCGTGGCTTCCTGAGCGCGTTCACCATGCATAATCGCGAAATGTGCAGCCTCCGTAATTACTTCCTGGTGAGATCGGATGATCCATTCCATAATGACGTCATTTCTAGTGATAAAGGACTTACCCCTCTATCCTTAGCCAACGAGCAATGGCAAGACCCGGCAGTACCAAGCATTTCCGACCGGGAGACCGTATAGAAGGAGAAGGAGCTCCACGGTAGGTACTACAGGGTTCTACATGAGCCCTTCGTAGATACAGTCGCCTCCCTCAACTGGCTACGTTTTGGTGACCTTTTTGGGGAAACCAAGGGTTAACACCAACAACTATCGGAGATACATCCTAGAGGATGGCACCATCGACGTCTGTCGAGCTTGTCGCCATCCCGGTGAGTCACTTAGGCATGTCATCTCCGGTTGTTCGGCGCTTTCTAACTCTGAGTACTTGCACAGGCACAACCTAGTAGCCAGAATTCTACACCAGGAGCTCGCTCTGAAATACGGTCTCGTGGATCGGAAATTGCCGTATTACAAGTACTTACCGGAAGCTGTGCTCGAAAGTGACCGCGCTAGGCTCTACTCAGACCGGGCCATTATCACAGACAGGACTATTCTTGCGAATAAGCCTGATATTGTGCTGATGGACCGGGCACATTCAAGAATATTTTTGGTTGACGTTACCATTCCGTATGACGAGAACCTCGTGAAAGCCGAAACAGATAAGCAATTAAAATATCTGGACCTGGCTCACGAGGTGACCGATATGTGGGGTGGTCTGTCGGCCGAAATTACTCCTGTAGTCGTCTCTGCGAATGGGATAATCCCAGTCAGCCTCTCGGGTCATCTGAGGCGACTGGGACTCCGTGACGGACCGCTCCGGTCAAATGCAAAAGGCGGTGCTCCTCGATACCGCCCACATCGTCCGCCGGTTTCTTTCCCTTTCCTCCTAACTCTCGGCCGTTTGGTATCCCCTGCCGAGGGCTTCCACCTGGTTGGGCTTTTATTTATTTATGTATTTTTGTATTTATTTCATTTTATTGATATTTATGTATATTTATCGTTTCATTTTAATTTATAATTATATATTTATATAACCCAACCGGATGAGAAAACTATATAGATACCCCAAACAATAATAATAATAATAATATAGTCATCTGAGGCGACTATGACTCCGTGACGGACCGCTCAGAGCTCAAATGCGGAAGGCAGTGGTCCTCGATACCGCCCGCATCGTCCACCGGCTTCTTTCCCTTTCCTCTTAACCCTCGGCCGTTTGGTCTCCTCTGCCGAGGGCTTCCATCTGGTTGGATCTTTATTTATTTGTTTTTTTGTATTTATTTTATTTTATTAATATTTATGTATATTTATCTATTCATTTCAATTTATAATTATATATTTATAGAAACCAACCAGATTAGAAAACTATACAAATACCCCTATAATAATAATAATAAGATATGCGTTGCCAGCCCTGAGGAATGAGATGAAGTGCCTAGTTTCCAGTAAAAATGATCTCCGGTTCTCTACACTCACCACACGAAACACAGCAGCATGAAGCTACTATTTCACGTTGGTATTCTGTGAGAGCGTGGTCCGACCCCGGTCGAGCCAACCCATTCTACATTCCCATTCCTACAATATGGTAGCGAAATTGAATGTCAGAATACCGCAGAAGGGTATTCTGACATTGACAAGTGATTTTAATGCCCACCACGCCAAATGGCTTAGTTCACGTTTAACCGATCATGGAAGGAGATCTGTTCATAATTTTGCCTTAGCATATGGTGTGACACAACTATTTAATTCGCCTATGCTCAATTTCAGATGTGGATGATCATTCACCATCCATGTTGTACCTTCTGCTGACCTCTCATCCAGACAGGTATGAGGCCAATGTCCCTCTTGGCTCTTCAGATAACTGTCTTGTCCAGAGTATGGTACCACTCACGCTGAAATCGCGGTTGTATTCTGCAGGCTTCCACCGTTTTTGGCACTATAGGTCAGCCGATTGGGATAGGCTGCGGTCTTTCTTTGCATCCTACCCTTGGGGGCGGGTTAGCTTCTCGCCGGATGATCTCAACGTTGTTGCTGACACTGTCGCTAATGTGGTACTTCAGAGTACTGAACTTTTTATTCCTTACTCTGTAGTACCGATCGGAGGCAGATCTTATTCTTGGTTTAGTCACTCCTGTAAAATAACATCATGCTATAAGCAGGAGTGCGACTGGGCCTAAGCTGACATATCAACGTCCCGGGATGTAAACACCAGCGCTCTAAAAAAGAAGTATAATTCCACCCCCAGGTCCTTCAAAAGAGTCATTGCCAAGGCAAAGTCAAACCACATAGGCAGAATTGGCGAGAAACTAGTTCGCCTTCCTTCTGAAACCCGTGCATTCTGGTCTTTTGACAAGGCTGTCCAGGGCAATTTCTCTCAGCCATATTTTCCATCTCTGCACAGGGAGGATGACTTACTGCCCCATACTGCAAAGGAGAAAGCCGATCTGGTAGGCTCTTTCTTTGTGTCCAACTCGACTCTCGATGACGGGGGGAGTACGCCGTCAACCATCCCGCGGTTTGAGTGCTCCATGCCGGAAGTGCAGTTCATACAGCAGTTCATGCAGACATAAGTCGAGTGGGCCTGATGAAATCCGCCCAATTATGCTGAGGACGTGTGCTCCAGAGTTGGCACCGGTTTTAACGCTTATTTTCCGGTACTCCTACTTTCTAGGCGTAATCCCAAAATCATGGAAGACGGCTTTCGTTCACCTGATCCCTAAAAAGCTGACCGCTCAGACCTGTCCAACTACAGGCCTATCGCTATCACCTCCTTGTTCTTCAAAACAATGGAGTCCATTGTAAACTGCAAGATCATCAAGTATCTTGAGGATCAACAGCTGATTAGTGATCGCCGATACGGTTTTCGCCGTGGGCGATCAGCTGGTAAGCTTCTGGTCTACCTAACTCATAGATGGAAGGAGGCAGTAGAGTCCAAGGGGGAGGCATTGGCCGTCAGTTTGGACATTGCGAAGGCCTTCGATCGGGTTTGGCACAAAGCGCTTCTTTCGAAGCTTCCTTCCTATGGGCTTCTCGAGAAATTTTGCAATTGGATCATCAGCTTTCTTGCAGATCGGAGCATCAAGGTCGTTGTAGACGGTGCAAGCTCCGATTACAAGCCTATTAATACTGGTGTTCCACAAGGCTGTGTGTTATCGCCAACGCTGCTTCTTCTGCATATCAATTATATGTTGCAAACCCTTAACATTGATTGATATGCAGATGACAGCACTGGTGATGCTCAGTACACCGGCCGTGCCAATATTTCTCGGGAAAACTTCTCCGAGTACCGGGAAAAACTTGTGTCTGAAGTCGAGTTTCTGCTGAACAGAGTCTCGGATTGGGGTGACTAAATCTAGTCCAACCTCAGAAGACACAAGTTTGTTATAAACCGACAACGCACCTGCAATTCCCCCTGGTGTTGCGGTTGATCATGGGCGCCGATAGTCACTTAACATCAGGTGAGCCGCACGCTCGTTTGCCCCCTCTTCTATAAAAAAAATCTGTTAAGTTGTGCATAATATACCTATATTATGTTTGTTCTAGTTTCTAAGTTTGTAAATGCACTATTGTACTAGGTAATATACCTGTGATGATAACTGTAAGTTGTAAACAAATAAATAATAAATTTAAAAAATTACTGCACGGTCGATCAGCTCGTGATCTTCTGATCTACATGACTCATCGATGGGCGGAGGCAGCAC